CTTTTCGCTGTGCGCATCTGTTCGCTACGGCGGTCCACGCGAGTCCTTTCCCTTCAGCTTCGAAAGACGCATTCGTAGCTTCTCTTCCGAAAAAGTCAAATCTCTCTAGTTTTTCTGATTATAGACCTATCTCTATTTTGCCTTTCTTTCCCAAAATTCTAGAACGTCTTGTGCACAATCAATTAAGTACTTATCTTTTAAAACACAATCTTTTAAATCCCTTGCAATCCGGTTTTCGTCCTGGCCATAGTACGACTACTGCACTTTTACAAGTCACTGATGATATTCGGTATGGTGTGGAGAAACAAAAGCTTACCATTCTCACGTTGCTTGATTTTAGTAACGCATTTAATACAGTAGATTTTGATATCTTGTTAAACATCCTGCGCTCTCTCAACATATCTCCAACTGTAGTTGACTAGTTTCGAAGTTACTTGTTTGGTCGCCGACAGCGAATTCAGGTGTAAGAGATTTTTTCCACCTGGACAACTACAGCTGCTGGTGTACCACAAGGTGGCGTGTTGTCTCCTCTCCTTTTTGAAATTTTCATTAACTCTATAAGTCATAATTTGTCCTCTTCCTACCACTTGTATGCTGATGATCTCCAAATCTATACTCAGTCCTCTCTTGAAGATCTATCTAAAGCAGTTGACACTATTAACGCTGATCTGACTTGTATTTCGAATTAGAGTAAATTTTATGGTTTAAGGATTAATCCTAAGAAAACTCAGGTCATTGTCATCGGTAGTTCTAGATTAATTGGTAAAATTAACTGGTCTTCCCTACCCCCTATTATACTAAACTGCACTCTAATCCCTTACAGTAACTAGGTTAAAAATCTGGGGTTGTATCTTGACTCCTGTATGTCTTGGACCTCACAGGTTAATGAGGTCAGTAGAAAAATGTTTGCTATGTTAAGCTATTTACGTAGATTACGTAATTTTCTTCCCACAGCAACTAAAGTTACGCTCGCCCAGTCTCCACTTCTGCCTATCCTTGACTATGCTGATATTTGCTATCTTGACATTACCGAGGAGCAGCTTAATAAGCTTGAGCGCATTCAAAATTTATACATTAGATTTATATATGAGCTTCACAAATATGATCATATCTCCGAATTTCGCAAACAGCTCAAAATGGCTCCCAAACCGCCTTCGCAAGAATACTCACATTCTCTACGCGTTTAAATTCTGTCACGTCTGGTTTAAGAAATATTTATTAACTTAACTGAAATACATAATTTTGGTAGTAATACTACAAAAACTAATTTTATTTAAAGCTTCACTGTTTTTGTCAAGCGCCTTCACAAAATCTTTCATGAGCCCCAATTTGATGTGTAAAGGGGTAGAGTGAAGTTGTCGGGATCTACCAACAGCTCGTATTTAATGCCATTTTGCCCAGAATATACTCTTACATAATGATTGTTTCGCTATACTGTCCCACAAACAGTTGTACCGTATTGTACCTGTATTGTAACAACAAACAGTATTTTTTGTAACCACCATGCAATCCCAATAACATACCATAGCATTGGTGAACCAAATTGAAGGTGAACGTTTTCTTCTGATGACCACTGGAATAAGACTATTCTACAGCTTTCGCAAAACACATGAGGCACCAAGTTTTTATCTTGATTTGCAACAGGAAATCCAAAATAATAAAGATATGCACTTTTAACGAATCTACAATGGGTCTTCTCTTTTTTGAAAATATAAACTGTCCACAAACATAACAAAAACGATCAGAACTTTGTTTACACTTTCTACTCGACATTTTAAATCAATCCGAAACAAGATAATTGTCGTTTGAAGCGAACGAATAAACAATAAACTGTCGTCACCACCTTAGATAGTTAAAAAAAAAACATTTGACTGCAGGAAGAAATTGTGACGTGATAAAATATTTCTGCTAACACTTTGAGGTTTAAGGAAGGTAGATTAACATATTTATATACATTTATTTTGACGTATAAAAAAAGTTCAATTTTGTAAACTATATACATAGTGTTATTTTATCTCATGTACTTATCCATAATACCTAGGTGGATTGAAAAGTACTCGGCCAAACACAGATCCATTCAATTCTAAAAATCAAATCTACCCACATTATTTAGTTCAGTTCAGACTAGTTCATTGTGTGAAGTTCGAAACGTGTGCGATAATTAGTTGTGATTTTATAAATTTATTAACAAAGTAATCGGACATAATTTCCGCGAATGGAGCAAACCGAGCAGCGTGCCGTCATTAAGTACCTCCATAAGAAGGGGCTATCATCAAAAGCCATCCATGATGACATGGTCAGTACATTAGGCGATTGTGCTCTGTCATATTCATCCGTCAAAAAATGGATAGCAGAATTTAAGCGTGGTAGAGAGAGTGTGAAAGATGAACCCCGCTCTGGAAGGCCTTCGACGTCAACTACTGACGAAAATATTAAAAAAGTACTTGATTTAATAATGGGAGACCGCAGATTAAAAATTAGAGAGATAGCCGAGATTATAGGCATCTCTTATGAACGAACTCAAAACATCATTGTCAACGAGTTGTGTTTCCACAAGGTGTCTGCGAGGTGGGTTCCGCGACTGCTTTCAGTTGAACAAAAAAGACGCGATTGACTATTTCATGCGACTGTTTGGAGTTATTTAAAGCCGATGCAGATGATTTTTTGAATTGTTTTGTTACTATGGACGAAACATGGGTCCTGATCTGGCACAGATGATCAGACTTCTTTCTGTTCCCTAACCTAAAAAAGCACTTGGGAGGTCAAAGATTTTCGACAAACGACGAGGTCAAAGCAGCTGTAGACGCATATTTTGACTCTAAGGAGGAATCATTTTTTTTCAACGGTCTAAATGCTTGGAAGGGGAGGTGGCAAAAGTGTATTGAACTTGATGGTGATTATGTAGAAAAACAAAAATATAACTGATTTAGTATGTGTTTATTTTCTTGGTTAGGCCGAGTACTTTTCAATCCACCCTCGTAACATCACAAATTTTTTGGAGTTTATGGCCTGGTATCTAGACCTTTAGGCCATATAACATCACATGTGTTGCTATAGTCAACCAAATCTAAGAAATACCTTTTGACATTTCGTATTAATCATTCAGCAATAACTTTGCACAAGCGTACTCACACGATTTAAAATAACCTATTACAGAAATCCTATTAAAGTTATCTATATTTATTTACAACGTTTATAGTTTTTTATCACTAATTTAAATTTGAATCTTTCAAACAAAGCAATATATTAAAAAATTACCAGTATCAACTTTTTTTACTTGACGTCGTTTCAATGATATGTCGCTATGTACATTACCGTAGTGTTTGGATGATTAAAATTTATTGTTATGCGAATAATCGGCAAAAATATTCAAGTAATCGGAAAAAATATTCAAATAATCGAATCATTAATTATTTTATTTTATTATTTTTTTAAATTAATTTTTATTTTTAAAATCCCTTAAATTTCATGAATCATGAATAAAACAAGTTTCTTTTTTTAATTTGTCATTGTAAATTTGTGTAGGCAAAAAAACTCTAACACGAGGCCGCGCTGCAAAAGCCACTTCGTAATTTCAGTATCCACCATTTCGGGAGCTTACTGTGCGTAAGTTTGTAATTTTGTGTTTGTCTTCTTATTTTGTGACTCGTCTTTAACTATTTGGACTATTTCTTCTATATTCGTTGAAGCATGTGCCCATGTCACAAAGGATCATTAGGCAAAAGTAGTAGAAAAAAAACAAAAAAATATTATGGATGTCTTTGAAAGAGACATTAATTTTGACTGCATTATTGAAAAACAAATAATAATAAATCTAAACAAAGACAGCTCAACTAGTTGTCCTGCAAGTGATTGAATATATTTGTTTTTAATCTTGTTTTAATCTTAAATTTTTATAACTGTGCCTCTAGAAATAAGCAGTAACAAGAAATACGTACAAACTGACAAATCTTGTGTTTTAAATTATCCGTTTTTAATTTATTCTGGTATTATTCAAACCAAACTGTAAATAATTACCAACTCTAAATAATCGATATCGATTTTGTACGTTGAATATTGTACGTTCCCATTTTTTGATTGGTATGCCTGGTGCAATAAGTATGACAGCTGTCAAAATGTATTTCTTAGATTTGGTTGACTAAAAATATATTATTTTTTATTAGCAACAGAAAAAAAATGAGCCTTGTAGGGTTAAGACCTTTGCCTAGATTAATTAACAAATCATAGCAACGACTCTATGGCAACAACAACAAATTTTAGTGATGGAACTCGAGTCTATTTTTACCGAGGAGTCATTCAGATCAATTCAGAAGAATTTCAATCGTATATCACTCGAGTGATCATATGACTCGGTTCAACCTTTTATTACATAAATGATTACGGGAGCTTATATATGAATACTATTTTATTCTATACAATTATAATGTTGTCGAAACATGTATATTAGTAACTTAATTTACTATTTTACACCTTTTGTGATGGAATTATCTATAAATGTATGTAGGTTGATCCCTGAAGTATAAACTAATAAAAAAAAACACGATTGTTGAAAATATCACGTAATATACATGTAAAAAAAAGTAAAGAAAAGTACATACAAATATTATATGTATTAGTAAGGTGAAATTGGGAACCTCATCTTTTTTTTTTGAAGACACACATAACTAAATTAAATAGTATTGCAGTTTTTATTTACGTTTTCAAGCCACGATAAGTAACTATTTAGCTCGATACAATCAGAAAACAATACACTACTAACTACAAAGAGTAATCTATCGAACTAATACTTTCGAGTTGACTAAGCAGCTCGAGTCCAGTTGATCTTGAGTTTATATTATTTCTCTCGAATACGAGCGAGTAATTTTGACTACCTGCGTTACATCACTGTGTTATTGTAATTTTTTCGGTACATATTTATGAAACAGAAATTATTTTCTTGTTTTTCATTGTATCTAAGTTAGACATTAAAATAATATTATTTTTAGATAAAATAACGAAATATGAATTTAGCATTGAGGCAAGTTCTAAGTGTACGGACTTTTAGGTTATGTGAAAGGCTTTCACCAAAAATTTTCCTAACTCCTGTAACAACATGTCCTATTATACAACACCGAAACTACTGCGAAGATCGAACGGAGTCCAGAAAACTGCCACAGTTGATGGAGTTCCCTCCAATCGTGTGGCCATCCTTTTTTAAATACATAAAGAACTGGATGTTTGCTAACTTTATCATCAGACCTTATTTTGATCCGGAATTTAATCTTAATGAGTTTATTGAAGCATCCAAGCATGCAGTTCAGGTTAGTGTATGGTGAATATTCTTTCCAAAATTTATTAATTGCTACATTTTTCTATTGAATAAGGATGACAAACGAGAACAATTGATGTAAAGTGGATATAGACACAATTCCTCAATTGAGACTCAAAATGTAGACGTGTTGTCCTCCGATGACTAACATGAAATGCATCATTAGGTACTAGTAAAAAGGGTTTTTAGTTCTTTACACATACTTTATATAACAGCAGAATTAGGCTGCTATTTACGGTGCAATCATAAATTTATCTGCAACTTGGCTCTACCATCTGAATACTATATGCTACTTCTGCAAAATCATGTTACATACATTTATAGGAGTTTAGAAAAGTAAGGTAAGTGATGTTTTGCTGCAGGTCCTGAAAGCAAACCCAGTTCAAGTCAATATGCATTATGTTGATTTCCAGGAATTATTGTATTGTAATTGTCTCCTCCAATTTTGTGTTCCATCTATTCCATCGATTAGTTCTTCAGCATATCTAGATATTTTATTGTAGTATAGTATGGCCCCACTTATTTATTAACTAGTCAACTAGATATATTCTTTATTAATAGAATAACGATAGTAGCCTATAGTACTGATGCTGTGGCCCATAGGCATCCACATTTATCCTTGATTAAGAATGAATATGCAGATGCGATGTCACTCCTGAGGACTATGATGACATGCCTCGTTTCCAGTAAAAATGGTCACTGAGTACTCACCATACAAAACACAGTGGCCTTAAGCTGCTATTTTACGCTGGTATTCTGTGAGAGTGTTATCTTACCCCAGTTGTGCCGACTCATTCATGCTAAAGGTAATATAGCTGCAGTGTGGCTCTACCACATACAATTATGTGATGAAGTTACTTCTTCTCAATATGTCAATGTCATCTACACATAGTGCATACTGCAGGTCATAAAAAACGGCTCTGGCAACTAAATATACTCAGTATCTATTTGAAAGTACTTATTTGAGTCATTATGCTCTATGTTTATACCCATCCACATAGTGTGGGTCTATCTTTCAAGTTATGTAGTAGTGTAAATTAAAAAGCCTATATACAGCAGAGACTAAGCAATGACTCAACAACAAAAAGGAAGAGAGAAATTACCAGCATCTGTATTTTTGTAATGGGATCTGGATATAATTGTAGTGAAGTAGGCTTAAAGTTATTAAAATAATAAAAAAAATTGGAATTTTATGTGGCAACAATCACTAAGATTTCTTATTAGGTTGTTTCAGAATGCCTACAAAAGAGTGATTTCAAAACATTGGAAGGGCTAGTTGAAAAGGATGCTATTACTGCACTTAAAAATGCTGTATCAAAGCTATCAGTATCTCAAAGACAGTTGTTGCCTGTTGATAAAGAGGATATTTTTTATGCTTTTCCTTATCAGGTAAGTTGATGTTTATTTTTTTTTACATTCAGTTTGAACTTGAGTTTCAGTATGAACTTGTTTACCTCTTTCTGATAAACGTATTTTACAAGTCAAGCTGTTTGAGCATGATTATGTCTGTAAACGAACTTTAATGCCATGTAGGGTTAATTATCTATTGTCATTATCATCTTCATTACAACTACCGACTACCGAACATAGGCCCCTGCTAAGTCACAACAATTATACATGTTTTCATATTTTATGTATATGTACTTCATAAAATTAAACTATTGTTAGCCATATCATTTGGTTCTACAATACGCAAAATTATCAACCTATCTATCCATAACAACCTATAAAAATCCACTGCTGAACATCGGCTTCTCTAATAGATTGTCTTACAGGAGTGAGTTTACCATAGAATAGTTGCCACACTTAGCGTGTGTTGGCGATCAGTTTTTCTTACGATTTTTTTATTATTATTATCAGGCAGAGGCTGCTGCTCATCACCTGTTTTAGTACCCCTGTCTTCTTATACTACACCAACTATGTTAAAAATTATACCATTCTATTATTTGAAAACTAATTATGGATACTATAATATGGTAACTATAGTACTGTACTGTACTTGCACTGAATTTTACTTACTTTTCAATTGAAAATGATCAATATTTTTTTAAATAATCCAATTATAACAATAATATTCTTCCCATTTTCAGGTAGGTGTAATGTTCGATGACTCAGATAAGCGTTGGGTAGAGATAACAATGTGCTATCATGTTTTAAAAGGACTGAAACAAATGCAAGAAACCGGTGACCTGCCCCCCATTTCATTAGGGTAAGTTATTGATTGGTTTCACTTACTTACATTAACTCTGTCTGATATTCTACTTATGTGCAAACACATAGTACAAATAGGTTTCTACCCTGATTGTTGGAAAAAATAGCTCGGGTAAGAAATGATGTGTACTGCTTCCAACTTTTAACCCTACAATCCTAATAAAAATCCCATGCAGTTGCATGCGTACGCACCCACCCACAGCACTTAAAACCATTAAAACTTATATTTAGAGACTACTTTTCTAGGAAGAAGTTTGGCATTATAGAATCAATATGAAATCTTCTATCCTCTAGTGCAATAAAAAGTTAGTTATCCTATAGATATTTATTTATAATCTATGTTCATTTCGTACGCCATTTTCGCGTGAACTTTTCATTATTAGGAAGACTCTTCTGCGCATCTCCTGATTTGTTTCCCTCTGTTGCCTCTCATGACTCCCACAGGATGATATGTGTTGGTGGATTATGCAACACTGATACATTTTTTAATCTTACCCCCATACCTGAATTTTCTCCTGTATTGTGGAGGCTACTTCATTGAATATTGATTTTTTTTACTTTATATATATCTATTTTGTAATTTATATTGACTTATATCAGTGCTTAACCACAATCCCAGTGTGTGGTGATGCAGACTTAGATGGTAAATTGCACTGTCTTAGCATAACAAATTCATTCTTGCTTTGAAGACGCCCGGATTGTATTCAGACAGAAAGATAGACGCCGGAAAATTATAAAACTCTCTGGTTCAAATGCATGGAATATCGACAACAAAGGGGTAAAGACCCGCTGACCTTCCGTTCGTACGATGGTGGAAAGGAGAGGGAGGAATTAAAGCATGCATTTCCTGCGCACACTCACTGAAATGTATCCTATAGAATACTGAGAGGCTGGCTACTCTGCGCCTGTGCTTGAGGCTGACAAGGTTTGGTTTCAACCACATCAAGGTCACCAAAGAGCCTCTTAGCGTGTCTCTCCATTGAGTCCAATGCTGCCAGGTGATATTTTGCAGCACTAGCCCATATGTGACAGCAGTGGCGAAGCTAGAGCTCCAAACTAGGACAAGCCCAAGATATAAATTGATAAAAATATAGATTTTTGTTTTTAGCAGTTTTATAAAAATACACCAATCTTGATCTGTCTCCACGCTTCAGTTTCATATTCAGTGCTGTCAAGGACATGTTACAAAGCACACAGAAGGCGTACTACTGCTAGATAGATTGTATCAGCAATTGCATAGCTTCGGTGGCTTGGAAGAAAGCCGTTTGGGTTTGTTTAAGGGAAAGAATCAAATATTTACATCCCATACAAACAAAAGTAAAACATGAACAAAGTACAAACAAACTATGTACAAAATTAAAAAAACAAATTATTTACATTCTAATGGATAAGAGATAAGATAAGTGGAATCGTTTCGCTTTCTTAAGGAAAGATTTAATTACGTCCATGTAAAATGTTGGTGAACGTTTTAATTGTACCAATAACTGTTTTTTAATTGCGATAATTGATAAGTCTGAAATACACTCTTGACCTTGTGTATTATCTCAACAAAGTTTAAAGATTTTATCTTTCCCTCTCCGATTAGTACTTTAACACACTTCAATTAATCACAAGGAACACTATTATCCTCCATTTTCACTAAAGATCTTTAAAAAAGCATAAATTTTGAACTCGCAATATTAAATCGCTTAAGCTAAACACAGAGTAAATAAACATTGCAAACGTATTGCCCGCACGCCTCCGCTTTTGACAAATTCATTCTTAAGGCCTGGCTTTTAATCTCTATACTAATTGCTATGTATACAATCGTAGTTATATTTCATTAGAGAATATTTTGCCATAGGTTAGAAAGAGAGCGATCGTCTTCTCGAAAGCCCCGTAAAAAGCCTACGCGAGCGAGGAAGACAACTAATCGCTCTATTAAAACTCATTTTTTATGACAGCACTAAGGCAATACGAGGTCATCGGTCGACATGTGTCGAACAGTGGAGTGCGCGGGAAATTTGAAATAGTTTGAAACAGTTTACGAGTTATTTTATTAGTTGATATTATTGATTGATTCAGTTTGATAAGGCAAGCCCGGCTTTTCGGCTTCTATGGAGGCTTCGCCACTGTGTAACAGCAATACTCCATGCACGACCGGACTTGCGCTTTATATAATGTAAGAAGCTGTCCCAGCGTGAAGTACCGCCGCACTCTTGCAAGGGCACCAAGTTTCCTTGCGGCTGGTTTGGCTTTAAGGTCACAGCTCATTAGAGCCACCCGGCACCCAACCCTCACCGCCTCGTCGCCAGGCGTCCACTCGTAGTCGTCAGGTGGACCATGGGTGGACGCCGCGTTGTTACCAGTGAACCTCGCGTGGTCATCGAGTGGACCTCGTGTCGTCAACGAGTGGTCCTCGGATGATCAACGAGTGACCCCTCTTGCTTCTTCTTCTACAAGTTTTTCTTTGTTCGTTTTAAAAACAAACAACAATGCGACCGAAACATTCGAAAGAAAGGCTCGAAATGAAGGGTTGGTGGAGAGCACCGCATCGCACTCGCATGAACCGCGCGTGGCCAGCTCGCGCTTCACGCGAGGCAAGGATGCCAACAGCGAGCTATCATTGAGTGGTCCGTTCGCAGTCCGCGCGTGGACACCTCGCGAGCGAGGCAATCCGGTGATGGTACGGAGTTGATGTAGTGAGCGCAGGCCCATACAAATCGATACGAAGAATACGAAACGCTCGAGGCGAGGCGGTGAGGGTCGGGTGCCGGGTGGCTCTAATGAGCTGTTACCTTTAGACTCAATGAACCGCCCATAGTTGAGGTTCGGAGAAAATTCTACCCCTAAAAACTGAAAGAGGGTCAGTGTAGTCCAAGTACACATTCCGGAAAGTTGGAGCCAGGGTGAGCGGGCTCCTTTTAGCGGTGAAAAAACACGCTTGTGTTTTGGAGGCGTTAAATTTCACGAGAGTCGGAGACTGTCTGTGGTGTGAGATTCACATGCTGAACCATAGCTTCTCTTTCGGACTCGATATGATCCTAACTGGCCCGAGCACTTGGTTCGTATCTCTCCACAACAGTGCCATTGTCTACATACCTATAGATATCAGGCATAAGGATCATTAATATCACAACAGGAAGAGAGTTGCAAAAAGAATGGACCCCTGAGGAACACCGGCGTCCGTCGCCACAGGATCGGATAAACAGCCATCGACGACGACCCGGAGACCATTCACTCAGAAAGTCCTTTACCTATTCAATCAGACCAGGGGATAAGCCGTACGCTGGAAGCTCACTCCTAAGGCTAGCGTGCAAAACTCTGTCAAGGCCTTCGAGACATCAAGGGAAACAGCAAGCGCTTCTCCACTGATCTCGAGTGCCTCGCCCCATATGTGTAGTATACGCTAGAAACCCCGCAGAAAACCCGTATTGCCGGTTACTAAGGAGGTCATTCTGTTCTAGGTATGCCATTAAGGGGGCGTTCAATATACGCTCCATAATCTTGTAGTGTGGAGGTATTGAAATTGGCCGATAGTTGGCAGGGTCGGTTCGACTACCTTTTTTAGGCACAGGCTGCACATTGGCCAACTTCCAAGATTTGGGCACTATTCCAGTCCTGAATGAGAGGCGGAACAAGTATGTCACAGACAGGGAGACAACAGCTGCACAGACCTTTAGAACTATAGCTGGTATACCATCAGGTCCACTAAATTTTTTTCACGTCTAGACCATAGATAGTTTTAAGAATCTCCTTGTTGGGATACGGACCTCTGACAGAGGCACCGCAGTGAGGTAATTGCGATGGTACGCTGTTGCTACTGTCCAGACGCGAATCGACCCAGGGTAAGTATGCTATATGCTTGGGCTTTTCACCACGAGCGCACCCTGCGTTGAACCATGGACGAGCTTTACCACCAATGGGCACGCCAGCAAAGGGGATGAAATACTCCATCGCATCAAATAATTTTATCCATACCTGTGTCTACCAATACCTAGATCGTAGAGAAAGAGGGGACTTCAAAGTGACGTCGACACTTACAGCAGATATCGTTGCGGACGTAAGTACAGACTCCGGCGCGCGGATGGAAATTATGCTCCAATGTGTATCCAGTGTAGCCAAGGTACGCTGCATCTAAAGGACATATGATCTGCGTCTCAGTCAAGAAAAGCAAGTGCGGCTTGTCAGTCTCAAGATGGTCATGAACTGCATTGAGATTACAGTGCAGGCCTCAGATGTTTGTGAGGTCCACTTTGATGGACAGGATTCTTTTTTATTTTTTGTGGAGTGAATAGGTTAAGAGAATGGCAGTTGGACGAGACGTCACACATATAACCTAGGGACGCAAACAGAGTCACAGCATCGATGGTACCTAGCATGGAGATCGCGGGGATGCCCGAACCCCCAAGAAATCTTCTCCAGGCCTTCCTCTGGTCGCCAATCCACATTGTGGAGCCAATCCAGGATTTGTCGTAACATGGCGGGACAGCCTTTTATGAGTACTCATTAAATGGGCCCCGAATCATCTACGATCGGCCAGCGGTGCAACCGTGCTTCGGATCCCGCTAACCTCCAGGCACCTGACACTAATAAACGGCCGGGTCGGAACCGGTTCTTATGCGCAACGCAACTGTCCAGACCCATTCTTTCTATGACATGGGTTTCACCTAACTTCATACCGGAACATGACTTGCATCATTTGGCGGTATATCTTTGCCAGGTGGGTGGTAACTAACCCTCGGCTGGGCCTCTCACTAGTAGAGGACCAACATACCACCAACATGTAGTACTGCTCGTTTAACACTACCCAGGGGATACATGTAGGGAGTCAGGATTCAAGTAATGCCTACGGACGCGAGCAGCTTCATCCCCAAAAAGAGACTAGACTAGACTTGGAACAACTATATGTAGGCCATTCAAACACTTGTTACTGCGGAATTCGAAACCGTGGCCCTCAGCACTGTAGCCAAACGCTTAGCTATTGTGCTATCATCAATTTTAGTCTCCCTTTTCTTTCGCCTTACCACCTTTTTAGAAATAGTCTTTGTTGCCCAAAAACGCATTTATCACATACTAAGTGAACTTTGGACACTAATTCAAGAGTGTATCACACAGGAGTCTCGTAACCATCACTTACCATGCAAAACAGCAGCATGCTATTAAATGCTGGATGTAAAGTAAAGATATGATCCAACCTCAACACAATTGTGCTGCTAATAAAATTATCTACGCTGTATCTCTGCCATGTCATATCAGTAATCGCAAAAACAAACAAGTCTTTGTTTTTGCGATTACTGATATGTCTGAGATGGTATTTCGAGTCGAATTAGAAAAAAGGAGGTTAATTCAATTATGTATGTTTTTTTGTATGTATGTTACGCTATGTCTTTGTCATAGAACCGATTTTGTTAATTATTTTTTATTAAATAGGTTATAACTTATATATAATTCAGGGGTGGTCTCATGTTATTTTAGAGAAAATATTCCACCCTTACGAGTGGAAAAATAGGAAATTTTTAAGTAGAACATATAAATGATATTGAGGTTGTATTAATTCTTAGTCCACTCAGCATTTTTGAGGTAGGATTACAAAAGGAGGTGCTTAAAAAACTCAACTAAAAATATAAAGTAATTTCACTTTTTATTAAAACTAAATTATTTTTCTCATCTTTGTGCATAGTCAACAATTTCCAATTCAAAGTTTTCTAGATCGCTAGGCTTCTTTTTTGTCTAGTAAATCGGAATTGGAGCCCCCAGGCGCTGCATTAAACTCGAAATTCCTCGATTTTCTTATTGAGTAGCAATTTGAACCATTTTAGTACATTTTTTTTTAAATAAAAGGGGGAGGGGAAACCTCTGTTTCTAACCCTACCTCAAAAATGCGTATTTCTTATTGAAATTCCCGTCAAAACTAATTTTAAGCAAATCTGCAGTCAAAAGCACTTTGACATAACATAAACATAAACACTCACGCCTGTCACCCAGAGGGGTAGGCAGAGACTACAGACTTCCATTTGGCACGATCCTGACACACCTCTCTCGCCTCCTTCACATCCATACACCTCCGCATACATGCTCGTCGGTTAAGGGTACTCCTAATTTGGCCCGTTTTCAATAAATCGCCAATTTGGTCGATAAATTTTCGCCTAGGACGTCCCTTTCCGACTCTGCCATTCACTTCTGCAACATAAATTTTCTTTGTCACTCTTTCCTCATTCATTCTTTCCACATGACCAAACCACCGAAGCATTCCTTTCTTAATCCTGGTCACAACATCATCTTGCAAACCACACTCTTCTCTTATTACACAATTTCTTACCCCTGTCATTAAGATTCAGCCCTAACATACTCCTTAACGACCGCATTTCTACTGCGTTCATTCTACTCTCGTGCTTCTTCTGCCACACCCAACTTTCACTACCATATGTTAAAGTAGGGACCAACACAGCATTGTGAATTGCCATACGTGCCTTTTTCGACACATTTTGACTCTTCACAATAGAGTGCAGGGCCCCATTTACTCTATTTCCCGCATTCACTCGTCGTTCTATATCCTTATCATATCTCCCATCCCTGCTAAATACGCAGCCCAAATATACAAACTCGTCTACTTGCTCGATCAACTCCCCTTCTATTCTTATTTCACAAATCGTTTTACTTTCTTCTCTTTCAAAAACCATAACCTTCGTCTTACTTGCGTTCACTTTCATACCCCTTTCTTTTAATGATCTGTTCATTAATGTAACCATCATTTGCAACTCGGCCGCCGACGACGCAAGTATAACTTGATCATCGGCGTACAAAAGGCATTTGACGGTTAACTCACCCATTCTTAATCCGCATTCTTCAACTTTCAAATTTTGCAAACAACTGTCCATAAATAGGTTGAACAGCCACGGGGAAGCTACACAGCCCTGTCTGACACCTTTATGGATGTCAAACCAGTCCGAGTAGACCCCGTTGATCCTAACACAAGCACTAGAGTCCCTATAAAGGGACTCCAATGCCCGTATCAAGCCAGCGCTCAACCCAAATGAGTTCAGTGTTTGCCATAGCACATCCCTATTCACTCTGTCATAGGCCTTTTCCAAGTCCATGAACGCACAAAAAACCTTTTGGTTTTTGGCCAAAAACTTCTCCGCGATCATGCGCATGGAAAAGACTTGATCTGTACATCCCATTCCCTTTCTAAATCCTGCTTGCACATCCCAAATTTTTCCATCAGTTTCTTTCATGACCCTTTCAATCAGTACCTTAGCATACAGTTTTCCCACAATGCTAAGAAGGCTGATGCCACGGTAGTTTTTACAGTCCTGCTGCGACCCTTTTCCCTTATATACTGGGACTATCACGGCTTTGCACCAGTCTACCGGTACCCGCTTCAGTTCCCAGCATAAATTAAACAAGGTGTGCAGCAGGCCTGCCACCACTTCCTCTCCAGCCCTTAGCATTTCGAGTGAAACTCTATCATATCCGGCAGCCTTACCTGCTTTCATGCTTTTCATTGCTTTCATTATTTCACCTACACTAATCTCGCTACCTCTTTCCTCTTCCTTCGGAATTTCTACTTCACTTAGTACACACGTTGTCTCCTCACTCATAAACACGCTTTCAAAATATTCCTTCCATCTCTTTAAACTCAAAACTTCATCATTCAGAATATAGCCATTCTCGTCTCTTATAGCATTCATCATAGGCTGTTTTGAATGTCCCCTGGCAGTTCTTACAAGTTTCCAGAACATTTTAATATTTGCCTGGAAATTATCCGATATTCTTCTATCATTCTTATCCGTTCTTTCTTGCTTTTTTCTTTCAACTACTTCTTTTACTCTCTTATTAAGATGTCTAAAGACTGCCTTTTTTCTTTCAATATCATCATTCGTACCGCTAGAATTACCAGCCTTTGTTGCTAGTAAATCTAGCCATGCTCTCTTCTTTGCTTCAACTTCCATACGTACCTCATCATCCCACCATAACGTATTATTTTTCCTTTCATTCTTTCTCTTACTAACACCACATACTTCGGTAGCTGCATCCACTAAACCTTTCTTTACATTTTGCCATACATTCTCCAAGTCTAACTCCTTCATACATAATTCATCCAAACCACTTATATTTTCTTTCAGTCTACATTTGAACTTCTTTTTCTCACCTTCATCTTGTAACCTTTCTGTTCTAATACGCTGTAACGCAGTGGTAGACACAGATGACCGATGGCGCCAACGCCTGAATAGACCATTAATTCGGCATAGAACCAAATAATGATCCGTTCCTACGTTAGAACCCCGGTAAACCCTTGTATCTACAACTGCGCCCCTCAATCTTTCATCCACAATTATTAAATCTATCATGCTTCTATCGTCACCTCTTTCCCAAGTATACATGTGAATCCTCTTGTGGCGAAAGCAAGTGTTCGTCACAAAAAGATTCTTTTCCATACATACGGTGAGGAGACTTTCACCATTCTCATTTATACTTTCATCACCAAACGTTCCCAATATCCTTTCATAACCAAGCCTCCTCACCCCAACCCTTCCATTAAAATCTCCTAGCATAATAATATTTTCATTTCCCTTACACTCCATTAACACCATCCTTACCATTTCCCAAAACTGCTCTCGGATATAAGTGGGCTTAGACATGTCTGGGGCGTAGACCCCTAACACAAACAACTTCTTTAAGCCCACTTTCATTCGTATCCACAGCAGTCTTGGGCTTACACATTCATACTCTTTCACACATTGGCCCATTCTTTCTGAAAGGATGATACCTACTCCCTGGCATGCCCGCTCGATCTCGTCTACACCAGACCAGTATGCGGTATACATGCCATGTGTAGTGACATCCTTTCCCTTCCTTTTCGTCTCATTTACACATAACACATCTATTCCTCTATCATTCATCATATCGCATACTTCATCCATTTTATCATTCATTGCCCCACATACATTCAACGTAGCCAGACGGACCTCTGCAATCCACTTTTCGCCTCTCCGGGAGACAGAACGTGACGGGTGGCGAACCTCGTCGCCGGTTTTCCTCCCGGAGATTCTTCGCACCCCTGCCCCATTAAAGGGGCGCCGGGAACTCGGGGCCATTTCTATTATATTGTTCCTCATGGTGCGGATAAAGGGTGGTATATTTTACGCCTCTACCAGGGCGTGGAGCCGAGTCTGTGCTATCGGCTTGTCGCTCATTTAGCACCACCCGGGGGACACGTGTAGGGTGGGCCTAGGAATAGGTGGTCAGAGCCTACGGACGCGAGCGACTTATCCCCCAAAAGCACTTTGTTAGTGGCCATAACTGATTTTAGGACAAATTAGTTTTTCCTAGGCCTGGCAGGATGAACCAAATATTCGCGGCTGATGTATACTGCTAACCGCAGCTCGACACTGGGTGTCAAATTAGCAAAATGGCCGCGCCATTCCTGTTGTTATGCAACCAATATGATTTAAAGGTTGAGAAACCTCATTTACGAGTATGTGGACTGAAATTCTGACCATGTTTTTTATAAGTAAATTATGCTTGTGCAATTTCTTTTATAATATTTTCTTTGATATATATTTTTTTCATTATTTTTATTTCAGCATTCAGCCGGAGTACCAAGAGAAGATATTTATACTTAACTACCGATTTATAAGGGAGTTTACGAAGGGTGTTGAAGACAGTTGGTGGGTTAATATTGTGAACCATTTCCAGCCGCAATCTATTGCCAGATCATATTAGCTTTTTAAGAATATAATGAGGTTTTAATGTGAGTATATATAGTGAAAAGATTACAGTGTTAAAAGCATAATAAACTGTAGTTTAATTTTTTTTTAGTATTTTATTGAGTATCATCTCATATAATTCTACTAATGTTCGGAAATATCGACGTCGGTAAGAGTAACTAACTGTTGAAAGAGAAGTCGTTAATCAGAGGAAGTTAGCATAGCCAAAGGGGCAAGGTTCGAAGATTAATGTACCAAGTCAAGGAGTGTTATAGATGTAAAAAAACAGAAAGACGAAAGATTCCACAGTTATATCTAATATCTTAAAATAATAAACGTTTGTAACACAAAGGAACTTACGAGATTAATAAAGTACAATTGACATGGAAAACTAGGATTAAAGAAAAATACATTTGTGCTTTTTTGATTGCTAATTCCCAACTCATGATTAAATGAGAAAAAAATACCAAGCATGCTTGTCGAATAACATACTTGTTTTTGTCTCCCCAATAGTAATGGAATGATCTATCTATATTACTAAAGTTTTCTTGCATATATTTTACGCATTATGATAATAATATTTTAACATAACCATACATGTGGTAGAGCCAGGCTGTAGTACAAATGGTTTAACTCGATTGGTAAAATAGATGCTTAATGCTACATGTATATGTTTTGTATATATATAAAATCAATTATTAAGTTTTTCTGTCAAGAAATTCTCAGTAGCTGCCCGGAGTCAGGAAATTGGCAGTGTCTCACCCCCGTGCCTCGGAAAGCACGTAAAGCCATTGGTCCTGCGCCTGATCTCTCTCCGGTCGTGTCGGTTTACCGTCCCATCGGATTATGAGTGAGGGAAGAGAGAGTGCTCCTGTGCTTGCGCATACACTTGGGCACTATAATCCTGTCCTGCGCCGATGGCTAACCTCCGTTGAGGCAGGCCGCCGTGGCCGAAATTCGGTCTGGAGAACATAATAATTTGTATGTTAAGCATTGAGATTTGAATCCTTTCTACTAGAAACGATGCATTTCATTTTAGTCCTCTGGGGTATCAATTTTCATCTCCATTCTGAATCTTAATGAGGATTGATCCATATTTTATAAGAGAAACCTATTGTAAACTCAAAGTAAACTAATATTCTCGGCATTGGAGTGACACAATACGCACCATGCATGTATGAGTTTTATTGTACCTCGTTATATGTGAAAAATTATTTACACAAAATCTGTAACATTTTATTTATTGATAAATAAGGTTTTTTCTTTTTAACAATATTTGTAATACATAAAAATTTATATCAAAATAATTTAAAAAATATTAATAAAAAGTTAATACATGTATTTTATATAATGAATCATTTTATTCACTTAATCTAAAACACAGCACAGTTATCCTTGTATTTTTCAAGCACCTCCTTTAAATTGTATAAAACTACATCCGCATCTCCTGAAAAGTTATAATTAAATTAAGTTACTACTCAGTTCTCTTACTTTGTGTTTACTCTTTATTTATTACAGTTGGAATCAACTATAGAGGATAATTCAAACGCGGTGCAGTAATAACATGAGACTTCTAAAAAAAATCCCACTGGGTTTCTTGCTGGTTCTTCCCAGGACAGAGGGTTTCTCCGAACAGTGGTAAAAGTAAAAAATAACTCAATAAGCAGTCTTGTAATCTGTGTTGGATTAAAAATTATTCTATTCTGTTCTGTTATCACATTTCATACTACGGTAGTCGTAAGAGTAAAGAAAAAAAGTGGTATCCAATGGCTGGTGAAATAGCACAGATCAACGAGTGGCAGAAATATAATTCTAACCTTTTCTTTAAATAGTGCTTTTTAGACAATACGGGGCGTAAAAACTTTTTAATTTAATCAAAAAATTGAACGTTTAGTTGTGGAATTCGACAGTTTCCAACGAATACATTCCCTGTCACCTTATACATGGTATGTTTCTGTTTGTCAACTTTTTATTCATCTATACCGGCTAGAAGTAGAACACTTGACCGCATCCAGCGCAGAGCGGCTCGATCGTCGACGACCGAGTGCTTTCCGATCGGCTCGATTCACTGGCGCTGCGAAGAGATGTTGCATCTCTTTGCATTTTCTTTCGCATACCACGGGGAGTGCTCTGAGGAATTGTTCGGATTAATCCCAGCCGCCAAATTTCGTGAACGCACTACGCGGCAAACGTCCCGATACCATCCACATCATCTGGATGCTTGGCGGTCCACCACTGTACGTTTCAGAAGGAGTTTTCTTCCGTGTACGACCTCTCTGTGGAATATTTTACCACCGGCGATTTTTCCGGACCGATACGACCTGGGGACCTTCAAGAAAAGAGCTTACTCCTTTCTAAAGGGCCGGCAACGCACCTGCAATTCCCCTGGTGTTGCGGTTGATCATGGGCGGCGGTAGTCACTTAACATCAGGTGAACCGTATGCTCGTTTGCCCCCTCTTCTATAAAAAAAATTATGTACAAACTAATAATATAAATCTATCCCACTCCACACCCTTATTAGTACACGATCCCACTCTTTGTAAATATAGTACCATCAAAGGCTAAAAAAATATTTTGCCATTTGCTTAGTAAAGGCAAATAAGTTGTTCGACAATTAATAAAATGCCTTATAATTAATTTTTCAAATTTATAATGCTCATTGAATTAATACCATACCTCTAACAGGATCATAAAGCGATCTCCTTGACACCCCACATTGCACTTTAATTGGCCTTTGTTTTTTTGCATAGTTTTCTACATCTGTAAAATTAATTATATTGAACACAGTTTTTTTTTATAGAAGAGGGGGGGGGGTTAAATTATAATAATTATCCAGTTAGAATGTATTATAACATTGACTTAATTACATTATAACATTACTAGTGGTCGTCTCGGGATAAAATTCGACAGTAATTAAAGTATCTTTAGGTTTGTATATTAAGCAAATAAAAATTTAAGTTTGTATATTAGGACATGTAGTGGTTGTGAAATAATACCCACTACCGCATATCGTCTCGTGGGTGTCGTAAGAGGCGACAGAGGGAAACTGAAAGTCAGATAGGCAGCAGCATTTTCAAATAACGAATGAAATTTAAAAAAAACTGCAGTTACCACAACCCGCCTGCTAAGCATAGCAGCTATGGCAAATACTACCCTACAATGCAATCTATTGACAGACCTATGTTCAGAATGATGGCTGTAACAATAAATGAATGCATGACATTTACATGGCGGTAGAACTTTTTTTCTTCTTAAGCTGCTTAGTGTGAAATCGAAACTCACCATCTACTACACCATTATCAGGCCAGTTGTGGCTTATGCCTGTGAAACCTGGACTTTAACCAGAGAGACGAACTGAAGCTTGCCGTGTTCGAAAGGAAAGTGCTGAGGAAAATCTATGGCCCCATAAAAGAGCGTGACGGTATCTATCGTCAAGGCATGAACTATGAACTGGACGCACTTATCGGGCAAAAGAACATCGTCGGGTTCTGTAAGTCACAGCGAATGATGTGGGCTGGTAACCTTGAAAGAATGCCGAACACAAGAGCTGTAAAAATAATGACTAAGTGGACGCCGCAACAAGAGACCCAGAGGCAGGCCTGAAAAGCGTTGGTGTCAATGTGTGGAAAATCTCAGGAAGATGGGAAAGTTTACCAGCTGGAAGAAGGTAGCCAGGCAGCGCGACAACTGGAGGAAGATTGTGGAGGAGGCCTAGACCCACAAAGGGTTGTAGCGCCAACGGAAGCAAGTAAGTAGAACTTTTTTTCTGTCTGGGAGTTCTTACGTGTTGGTACTAGGTAGAACCGTGGATGGAAGGCTGTGAGGCATTCCATCTTGATTTTCGACCATCTGCAACCTTCTTTGTTTGCAGGCGTCCATGAAGTAGGCTCTCTCTTAACTTATATTTAATCTAAAAAGTGTGACGTGTTACCCTGCCTATAATCTCCTTAGTACCTGAATGACCACGTGATATCCACTTGAGCTATTACCATCATTAACACAGTGTCAAAATTTACCTTCTTATATTGTAGCAGTTTTTCATTGCCTGAAAACACGGACAAAATGGCATTTTCTAAAAATGAATCCCAGCTAGATCGATTTATTGCCCCCAAAACTCCCTGGACACTAAATTTTATGAAAATCGTTGGAGCCGTTTCCGAGATTCCGATTATATATATACATACATACACACAAGAATTGCTCGTTTAAAGGTATAGGATAACAGGGGAGACCTGTACATGACTGTCATAAAAAGAAAGATGGCAAAATTTGTCATAAAAACTTTCATTAGCATCCGTCAGTTGTTTGGCTAGTCTTTAAAACATTCAACCCTGACTGATCTGATACTGCTTGCCTGATATTACAATCGCCAAACTGCCAACTGTGATAATAAATGCAAAACTTACCAACTTGAAGTAGCTCATGTTCAGACAGGTCATTATAAAATAGAAATTACTAACTTATGCAAGGGTTCTCATGAAAAAATTTCATTTCCACCCATCTGTAGTTTGGCTCATTTTTACTAGCCTTTAAATTATTAGTTTATTGCACAAATTGATAACAAGAACCAGGTCTATTAAACTGTGTTCTAACTGTAGAAAATAAACTTGTACATCCATGCCATTATGGGATAGTGAGAAATCTCGTTACCAACCTCCATGTACTTTATCCAATAAAGTGCTGATATCCAAATTCTCAACTAATCTCGTACACAATGCATTCACGTACAAACTGGCCCCAGGGACAATTTTCTCTGTATCACCAGTTTTAACTTCATATGTTCCGTCAATAGTTGTTGAACATTCAATTTGTAATAATTCGTAAGCGGCTGCGGATGACTGCGTTGAATAGCTAATGAGTAAGTTGCGATGGATCGTGTAGTCCTCTATTGTGGGTAATGATGCGTAGATCTTAGGGTTAATATTCCTGTAACGCAATTTGTAACTATTTCAAAATCATATAAACTAGTGAAAGTTTAAGACATATAGTGAAGATTAGAAAATTCATTTTGTTTC